CACACACACACACACACATACACACTAGTATATATATATATATATATATATACACATACTATTTTTTATACACACGCATACACAGAGGAATGACTGAGCTAAATAAAGGCTGACAAATAGCAAATAGATATGAGTGTAATCAATGTTGTTCTAACCATGGTAAGGAAACTGCACGCCATCGTTTTCATGTTTTATCTTCCTCTCCTGCACACTCGCCAAATGGTGCTGCACTGAAAGTGAAGAAGGGTATTGTTAACAATGACATAGGGAAAGAGTGAAACAGAGAGAGAGAGAGAGAGAGAGAGAGAGAGAGACAGAGAGAGAGACAGAGAGAGAGAGTAAGAAGGAAAGGAAAAGAGTTTAGAGTGAGAATTTGTGTATGATGTAAGTAGTAAATGACTGATAATTAACACAACATCAAGTAAACTGTATGCTTGGTTATAGCTTTAGGGTGAGGATTAAAAAATATAAACTCTTGCAGGGAAATGAAGAAGAGGAATGTTTTCTTGGGGTTGTAGGAAGGATGAGGTAGTATTACTGAGGAGGTAGAATAAAGAGGGAAATGTCCAAAGCTGAATCCCAGAAGTAGTGGTCACTGCCTGAACAATGGAAATACTAACATAAAGCCTTAATGCAGGCTGCTGTAAGCTATTATTTCATACTTGAGCCTGGCATTTATATCCCCCCTGTGTCTGGAGCCATGTGGTGGATAGCATTTAGCACCATCCATGATAAATTAAATTTTCTGGGGTTATTGTGATGATGTTATAGTGAAATTCTGACCAGAAATGGCACAGACTGTAATTTAAAACATGCGGATGCTTTTAAACCCATTTACTGAACCGAAATGGAAGAGACTATTCCAATCAGTGTAAAATAGCCTTAACCACAGGGTGAAGCTGATGACTGGGCAATTGTTACTTGGCCGAATACATTTTTGTGACGAGACCTAAACTGAGCCTTTCATTATTTATCTAAACCTTCATTATTTTGGAAGGTATTTGAATGTGTTTGTTATAGATTCTGACAAATGTGAGAAAACTATGTGATTTCAAATATCTTGTACATCAAGCATATGGTAAGGCATTTCATATTTGAACAACTTAGATGATTTGTTTTTTTTACAACCAATATTATGGCCATCTATTTCAGTGTTATACAAAGTAAACATTTTTCTCTTAACAAGTGATTCTAGGTGCTGCTGCTTCTCTGAGTAGAATGGTCCTAAGAAAGGTGATTGGTGGGTTTCTGAGGGGTGTTCAGGGCTGTGCAGATCACCAGTGTGAAGGCAGCTGATTGAGGTGGGGAGTGTTTAGAAGTGACAAAGTCAGATGAAGGCATCAGTTTGGACTTTGGTGGTGGAATGGGGGTCAGGCAGGAGGGTGCAAAAGTTTCATGATGCTTGCGTAGCAGAGGACAGGTTTAGGGTGGGGTAGGAGGGTACCTGCATCCATGTCATTGGGCCACGCACTGGACTGGGAGGAGCTGGCAGCAGGCGAGCGTCCAGGGTAGAAAACATCATCTGTGGGGCTCTCCAGTTCGCTGTCATCTAAGGACTTCCTCTTGGTGGAGCTGGGGGCATGGGAGAATATTTGGTGGGTGGAATAAAAGTAAGAGGCAGAAAGAGAGAGGGGGAAGCTATCACAAAAACAGGCTTCAGGTATTGCATCTAAGAGGAAAAAAATATCACTGTTGCAAAGTCTTGGAGCAGAACAGACAAAGCACAAGAAATGTCAAAACTATGTGAATGAAAAAGGAGGAAACAGCAAGAAAAGACAGACAGCAGAGACAGCCACACATTAAGACTCTCTCTATGTGTGTGTGTGTGTGTGTGTGTGTGTGTGTGTGTGCATGTGTTTTCCTGTGCATGTGTGTCTTTAATTTGGATCTTTTACGTGTTTATAAGTACCTCCGTGGAAGGTTTGCGTACAACTCCACCTCAGACCTAAAGTGACAGCAGATGACAGAGGTAAGAAGAGAGAAAGAGAAAGTTAAGACACCAAAGAAGAAAAAACAGAGAGAGCCATCAGACATTCACAAAGAAGAGAGCCGCTAACAGAAAGACACACATACATAAAAAGAGGTTCCAAGACTGGGAATGGACTAAATACCACTAACAGCTAGAAACTTCAATGAAATGGCGTATTTTACTAGCCGTGTAATAGGAAGCTATATACCGTTGGCAAATAATACAGTACTGTGATTTCACACTTCCCTCCAGTTTGCCCTTGGCATCGCAGAGATTTACAAACCAAGGCAGATCTGCTAATGCCACATGGTGGTTTCACCCACTAGAGACTCTACTCATGGTAGACAGCTGTACCTTTACAATGGTCACGGATGGTTCCTGTGCAACACACACCTCTATACACCCCACACTAATGTTGTCTGTGTGGAAACATTGTTGGGATTGTTTACCTGGTGGAAGGAGGGGAGGTGAGGGAGCGCCGTCCCAGAGCCACCTGGTTAATGTTGTAGTAACTGGGACTGCTGTCCAGGTCAGCCAGTGAGAAGTTAGGACCTGATGCTGTTGCTACAGGAGCTGACAGGGGGGAAAATAAAAGGGATGGGGGAGAGAAAAGGTAAATAGGGAAATATAAAAATGTAAATTGAGATGGTATGCACATAGAAAACATATGCAGTTTTTCAAGAGAGAAAAAATACTACCCACAGAGTTGCTATATGTTTGTTTTATTACATAATTGCTTTTCCTACTTACTCTGTGACACTCTGACCAGCTCCGCAACATTCCACACCCCTGAGGTGACGAAGCAGTCCTGGAAACTCAGGTGCCCTGCACAGAGTAAGTCAGGACTTTACGTATAAATACAGAAGCTTTAGAGAAAGAAACACATCAGAAACTCACACAGGCGTG